AGCGCAGAACGGCTCTGTGAGAACCTACAGTATGGTGAATGACGTCAAGTTGACCGTTGCAAGATGGCGCCACATCTACATGCCTGGAGCGGTCGAATGGGGAATCTATACATATCTATGGTGGACGCAGCCTCTGTGTTGCCAGATCCAGCTGTTATAAGCGTTTTTGGACTTGTCTTTTCCACTTTTTTTTTACCCTTTAGAAAGTTAATAAAGTAGGACGTTGCAGTTTAGGGTCAGCGATATCTTTATCTTATCTTAATTGCAAAAGATTTGAAATAATTTCGGTTTATTTGTATTTATTTATCGGGTTTTGTTTGTTTTAATAGCAATAGCTGGCAACACTGCATCGATGATTCGGCTGTGCAGGTCAGGTGTTACGAGATTTTTGGTTTCCGAGATTTTCGGTTTCAGTGGGCGGAGCATACATGAATATTCATGAGTTGCCCGGACATGCGCGTGGAACTGAGTGAGAATTTCAGCACACACTCCTTGTATCTCAGCAGGTTTAATGGAATTTTTAAAAAAAAGAAAAAGGTAAATATATTTACAGTGTTGCACAAACTACATTTGTTTATCATTTCGTAACAGTTAATAATGTTTTATTTGTTTACAGTGCACGTTTTGTGCAGTCGTCCCTGACTGAGTGATTGCAGGCATTCTTTGTGTAATGTTAGGATAAAGCACAGCAAACTTCAGCTAGTTGTAGCCTATACATTGATTTCAGTTCTTTGTGCCCTTCATTTGTAGCTTGCGATACTTTAAAACGGTGTCTGTTATTAGTGGTTATCATTTGTTGAATACATCACTGCCTGCTACAAATGAAATAAACGTAGCCTATCTGTGGACATTTTTTTTTTTTTTGTATACTGGTGTGAGGATCCATGTCTTAACTTACCCCGTTCAACATTCTCCATGTTGTGAATTGTCTGCTGTCTGGTTGTAAACTATGATACAATCATACACTGCTGTAAAAAACTTTTTTTTTTTTTTTTTCATGTTTCCAATGTAAAATATTTAAACATGTTTACAAACAAATGTAAATTTACAAATTAAGATTGTCACAAGGTTTAAGGATCCATTTGCACAGTGGAACCAAAAATCCCAGAACACCTGGATGATTACAGCTACACAGGTTTCCAATAGTAGTGCAGATCCAACTACCATTTCATTTATTTATTTTTATGCTCTTCAGTAACCTTTTAAGTTTCAAAACTGTCATCTTCTGGTAATAAATTAAATAACATTCACCACCATATCAGTGGCCTAATAAACATTTTGCAACCTACACTGATGTTATTCTCTGTCATCTGTTCTTTGACCATGTGTTGCACTGACTGTACCTGGATGATACACAATGATGATCATTGATAAAAATGCATGGTCTATTTTGATGCACAACAAACACTCATGCAACATTATTTATAGGCTAAGTCATAAAGTTTCACAAACATATACTCTTAATTAGGCTTTATATATATATATATATATATATATATAAACTGTTCCCTCCTGGTGGAATGATCTGCCCAACTCAATTTGAGCAGCTGAGTCCTTAGCCATCTTCAAGAAACAGCTAAAAACACATCTCTTCCATCTATATTTGACCCTCTAACACATGCACTTTTTTTTTTTTTAAGAAATGTATATTTTTGTTCTTCAAGGATGCATTAATTTAATAAAAATGACAGTAAAGACATTTATAATGTAAAAAAAGATTTCTATTTCAAATAAATGCTGTTTTTCTGATTTTTCCATTCATCAAGGAATCCTGTCATGGTTTCCACACTTCATTAAGCAGTACAACCATGTTCAACTGTGATAATAATCAGAAATGTTTCTTGTGCAGCAAATCAGCATATTATAATGTATATTTACAAAATGAATAGGAATCTAAGCCTAACAGTTTAAGAACAATCACACCAGGATACATGAAAAACGATAGACAAATGCAAGTTTATTTCAGCTGTTGTACTCAGATGATAACAACTAACAACAGACACAGTTTTAAAGCATTGCAAGCTACAGCACAACGAACTGAAA